GGCCCCCGACGGTACGGCGGCGCCGAGGGAATACGGAGGGGGGAGATCTGTGATCGGGTGGTTGCCGGAGCAGCTGGACACGGCGGAGGATTCGCTTAAAAGGGCGACTCTGATTTTCAAGCGGAACGCTGAACGTGGCGACCCTGAGTCGTTTCCCCATTCCAGAGTCCTTAGGGAAATGAGAGGCGAGTGGTTTTAACTTCGTTGTTCAACGTTGAATCCCCAAGAAAACGTTTGTTTCCTTTTCGACGAAGAAATCTCCATAGAATCGGATGTGTTTGGTTGGTGGATCACAGCTTCAAGCGGTCCAAAAGGGCTTTTTTTTTTACAGAACTTTGTTCTTCCCCAAGATTCGTCTTCCACTTTGTTCTTCGTCTCTACGCCAAGCTGTGTTTTTGTTAAAAAAAAAAAAAGTTTCAGAGTATCACATTCCAAAGTTGCAATGAGGTCCTTGTGTGTGATTTTGATTCTTCAAACAAGAAAGAGAATGCTAAAAAGCCACCCTCTTTATCGTCCTTTCTTCACCATTATAACTATCAAGCCTCTGTGTTCTTCTTCGCCTGTTACTCTCCTCTGAACCGAGAAAAGATGATTTTCTCGAGGACCCATTTCCTCTGTCTCTTCACTTTGCTGCTTCTAACGGTGAAATCCCATTTCTTGTTTGTCGCCTCAACATCGGAGAAACCTCAGATCGAATGCACAATGTGCATTGAATGTGAGAACCCATGTCAGCCACTTCCTCCGCCTCCGCCTCCGCCTCCGGAGATTCTCTGCCCTCCACCGCCACCACCGCCTCCGCCGCCGGAGATACTCTGTCCTCCACCACAACCTCCTCCTCCTCCACCGGAGATTCTCTGCCCTCCTCCTCCGTCTCCACCGCCGCCGGACCCACCATGCGACCATTGCTCATTGCCGCTTCCTCCGCCGTCCCAGCCGACGTGTAACGAATGCGTGACCGCGCCCAAGCCCACGAAGCATCCCCCTCGACCGCCTGCGCCACCGTTCATCATCATCGCTGCCTCGTCCTTCTCGATTTCTGGGTCCGCCATTTCTGTGAACCTCACCTTTGCCGTTCTTGCTTACGTTGTTGCTATGCTTCTTTAATCTCTCGCGGGTAAACCGATGGTTTCAGTCTTTTTAACTCTGCATTATTTCTTAGAACTGTTGGTAAGAAATCTGATTTGTGGTCACACAAAGAACCCAAGGACTTTGATGTAACATTTATATTTTCCATGTGATTTTTCGAGAACAGCCGAATAAAGGTCTAATAATATATGGCATTCATTACCAATTTATATCTGTATGTACCCATTTCCCATCTGTTCTAATCGCTTCGAATAGATTATGGTTTCAAAGACAGCAGGTCCATTCTATTGAGATGAGCAAGAGCAAATCACAGGTCTGGGCCGCGGTTAGGCCCATAAATCACATGGAGCCTGGCCCACCAAGGCCCAGTAGACGCCACTCTGTCGATGTAAATTCACCAATCCAATCACTGTTATTTATATCCATTACTATCATTAGACGAGTATATGATAGTATTTCGTTTCACACTTATTTATTTCCCACTGTTAAATTATTACTTGATAAATAATAAACAAAATTAAAAATCAGAACAATCACTAAATAAAAAAATAAAAAAATAAAAAAAAGGTAAAACATCTGCTTCAGTCGGCTGTGTCCGTGGCGCAGAGAAGAGAGGGTGGGTCTGAAGAGCGCACGTTAGCTCTCCCCTTCTTATCCTCCGCCTACTTCTACCTTTTCTATATCCCTAACGCTCTCGCTTTTTCTCCCCAGTGACAGTTTTCTGTTTGTTTCCCGGGGAAATCTGATTCCTTCTTCCCACTTTGCTTTGCCATTTGGCCCATCCGATTAACTCTTGGTGGACTGTTCGATTCCTGTCGGTTTGGATTTATTTCGACGACAAGGGAGGAAGGGGAGGGAGAAGGAGAAGGGGGTTGTTTCTCCGTTTCATAATTCTTCGCATACGCGATTCGCCGGCTTCTTCTCCGCCGCGTTTATGATGATCGTCCTTTCTCCGTCGTTCCGGTCATTTCCTCTGGCGGAAGCAATCCGATCATCGCATCTCCACGCCTACCTCCCGCCACCGCCGTCACCGGCTTATCACTCCTCACGCTGTTTCTCCTTCAGAAAATCGCCGGCTTTCCGAAATGCCGACGAATGCGGCTCTTCCGGCGATGACGCCGGCGTATGCAACCCCTCATTCGTCCACATCGCCATCACTCTCGACGTGGAGTACCTCCGTGGCTCAATCGCCGCAGTACATTCCATTCTCCAGCACTCGATGTGCCCCGAGAGCGTCTTCTTCCATTTCCTCGTCTCCGAGACAAACCTAGAGCCTCTGGTTTTCCTTCGCCGGTAAATCTCTACAGAATTCTGTTTTTTGCAATTAATTCGATTTGTTCATTACTTTCTTAAAATTTGGTTGTTTCTTCACTGTTAGTTAAACAACAGGCCACCGACATAGTCTCTTCAAACCTGTTCTTCTATTCTATCTAATCATGAAGATAAGACTAATTTTGATAGCCAAGTAGTCTTCTCTTGGTTCTGAATTTTGAGCACTAGCCGAGTGATGGATTCTTTAGTTGTGCCATTACTGAGCACATGTGAAGCCTGCACTTTTGTGGGCATGGCTTTTTGGGTGCCATTCTTGTTGGCCTTTAATTGGAGAGGGATTGGAACAGGGAAAAGATGCCAACTTTTTAATCTGCTTTTGCAAATGGTGAAATAGTATCCTCTTGAGGGGGGTCAGCTCTATTTGTTCCTTGCAGGGATGCCCAATTTTTCATTTTTATTTCCGTGTTTGGCCGCGGAAGCTATTAACTGTTGTGCCTTTGCTCGTCTTGTCAATACAATTGCCGGAGTGTCGGTAGATATTGAATTGTGCTAGGGATTTGCGGTAGGGCGCCTTTCTTTTTTCGATATGTTCATGTCTCTCATTGCCAGAGAAAAAGGGTAACTCATACTAGACTTGATGATGCATGTTTAGCTCAAATGGAAAACTTAGAATTCACAGCACTCATGTGGAATTGTCATGGAGTCTTTTGAGCTCAAAGAGGGAAAGACTGAGAGCTGAAATTGTAGGATTTTAGTCTGTTTTTGGGTATCGGGTGAATCAAGTCATAGTGCATGATGCAGTTGAAGAAGATATAGGTTCATCTCTAGTTAGGGTGTTAGATTTGCATAATGGAGAACCCGAAATCCCAAGAAGACACGATGTTGGGAGGGTCACTCGATATTGAATCTGTTCCTCAACTAAGCAATTGTTTGTTTGGTAACAAGATGAATGTCATGAAAAACATGAAAGAAAGATGTGAACTTTATGGTGAATAAGAACTTCAGAAGAAGAAAAAAAGGGCATTGGGTTGGCTATGTTACGTTACTTGAAAAGATTAGTTTGTTATTTGTGTTTGATTCTGTGATTAGACTAACCCATGTGGTCATTTGTTTGTTTAATCAGTCAATAGTTGCCACGAGGAAGAGAAAAAAAAAAACAAGGATCGGAGGATACCGACAGGTAACAATGATTCCGTTTTGTCCGTAGAAGAATATGGAAACAACCTGATCGGATGTTATATCCCGAACCAGACACACACGATTTGGATGTTGGGAATTTTTTTTTTTAAATTACCGGATGAGGTTGGATCATTTTTGTTTTTTTAAATAATCAGATGTTGTTGTTGTGAATGTGCAGATGCATCCCTAATTGGAAAAAAGTTAGAAGGAAATTCTTACACTTCATATCAATGATTTCTATATGCTATTTTTTAAAATAACTTTTTTCCTCGTGCATACAGGCATTTGGATTGATTAATCATATATTCTCATATTTACAAGCAGGTCCATTTCCTTTGAATTTGGTTGTTGGAGCGTGGAGAGAGAGAATTCAATTGCAAGTTCAAGAAAAGGAATCACAAGCTACACAATCTTGAAGCCGAGAAGAAGCTTCTCATGCCCTTTGACTTGGGTCACAAGCAAACAGTCCTAACCCTACCTTCCTAGGGGAACTGAAACCGCATGTAGTCCTGTCTACCCGATGGAGGGTTAATATAAACCCAAAGCAAAGAAACGATAATCGACAACAAACCCGACCACACAAACACAATTGTCGGCACTTTACCTCTTCTTCCCATCAATCCCTTGGCAAACGGATAGAGATGACAAAGAACCCAGAAACTGAAGAACACTCCTCCGACAAGCTTGCTCCACTGCGGAAATGGACTGTAAAGTGTCCTGGCCAGTCCAACTGCAATGGCTATCAGATTCACCATCACGATTGTGATGGGTGGTATCATTAAGAAGCTCCATTTCACCACGTATAGATCTGCAAATTCATCCTCTCCATCTTCCGGCGTGGCTGATTTGGATGTCAAGGTGAATGAGATGTCAACTCCGGCTATCACTTTCAGAAGGCCCTGAAGAACAGCTGCAGGGTGTGCACTTGTTCCTCCAATCAACCAGAACTGCTCGTTTCTCCACCATTCATGGAGTGTTATGCCTGACCATTTGATCTCAAGGAGGGCCAACAAGCACAGCGTGAGGGTTATGGCCAACAGGAAGATCAAGAATGTGATATCGAGTGATTGGACAATGAAATGGCCCGAGAAGAGGGATACTGCCGGGAGGATGCAGTAGATGATGAGGAAAAGGGAGGTGAAAGGGTACATTCCAACATTGAAGTAGGCCACTCTTTGCAAGAACTTCATCCTCGGGCTTGCAAACAACGCATTGTTCCTCGAGAAGAAGATCTCCACAGACCCTGTTGCCCACCTGAGAACCTGGTGTAATCTATCTGTCAAATTGATTGGAGCAGTTCCACGAAATGCGTCCCTTTTCGTGACACAGTAGATAGATCTCCAACCTCTGTTGTGCATACGGTAGCCCGTGACGACATCTTCTGTTACAGATCCGTATATCCATCCAACCCTTTTGCCCCACTCGGTTTTATCCTCGTAGAAGCAGGAAATCACGCTGATTGCTTCAGCGACAGTGGCAGCATCAAGTGGTTCACGTGGAACAGCAAGAGATCCAGCAGGCCTGCTGTTCTTGCCCTTGCCTTGCAAGTCCTGTAGAAGCCTGCCCTGGTATTCGGCAACTGGAATAGAAGCAACGAAGGAGTTAGAGTTACCAAATCTTTTTGGGAGAAGCAAAGACTCGATATCTCCATCATCGTCTTCCTCGTTGAATTCTCCATTTATCGGTAGGGCTACCTCATCGTCTTTCTTCACAGCCTTTGGCTTCCTCAGAGACAGTTTGACCTTTTTTCTTCCGAACCAGCCATGGTGTTCGGTCGCCCTCGGTGGGCTAAACCCGTAAAGAGCCGTTCTGCGGAAAATACAGCCAGTCCCAACATACATCGGACCTTGTAACCCGTCAAGGGCTCTCATACTGACATCAAAGAACACTGTGTTATGGTTTGCATAACGGTCATTCGGGTCGATACCTTCAAACCTCTGTGGAAACTGGACGTAACAGATTCTATCGCCACCTCGGTCAAGCATAAAGCACATCCCTTCCCTTAAAGCCACGGAGTTGTAGATATAATGGTCGCAGTCAAGATTGAGGATGAATGGTCCATTTGACATAATGGCACTGGTTCGAACTAAAGCGTTCATGGCCCCTGCTTTCTTGTTGTGATCATAACCAGGTCTCTTCTCTCTAGAGACATAAACGAGCATTGGCAGTCTGATGTCAACTTCAGTTGTGTCGACTAAGTTTTCAGAATCAGCTTCTGCTCCATAAACTGGTTCTGCGTTTGGTGGGGCCAACATCGCCTGCAAACCAAAAGAACCAAACTAATATCATTATCTCATTTTCTTTTTCCATTTGAAATTCCAAAACTTTACCAATTAGGAGTTGACAAAGCTACCTGGATTATTCCGGCATGGTCTCCTCGGGAATGATCGCTTTCTCCGGAAGCCCAAGTTCCGGGCCAGTGAGATCCATCTGACATCCAAGTGGCCTTTGGCACTTTAAGAGGTTCTGCTGGATTCCCTCCCATTTCCATCTGTTTCTTCTTGGCTCTCAACTCTTCATGTGCATTATAAGCATCAGACCTTCGCCTTATCGACTCTGGCAACGAGTTTATTCTCACCTTAAACTCGTCATATTCTCTCTTCACTCTCCTTCTCTCTCTCACAAAGTCTAGCCTCACTTTGTTCTTGAGAAAATTCCGTTTCTGCCCGAAGTAGCTCTCGGGATTCCTTGGCTCTATGTTGTGCTTCCGGCAAAAGGGTACCCAAGTCCTAGCAAAGCTAGCCGTTTCAGCTAAGGCCTCGAATGTTAGCAGAGCCCCTCCATCGTCCGATAAGTAGCAGGCAAGTTTCTCCACAGGGTAATCAACGGCTAGGATTGAGAGAATTGTGTTGGCAGTGACCAGAGGAGGTTCTTTCTCTGGGTCTGCAGTCGAGACAAACACGTCGACACCTGGAAGATCAGACCTTCCCTTGGGGTTCCTCAGGTTGGGTGACTCGAAGCGTTCTTTCAGAACCGTTAGATCAGTGATTCTGTTAACCGGACAGAGCTTGGGAAGCTGGTCAAGCAGCCATGAGAAGGCAAACCAAAGCTCGCAGGTTGTCGACATTCCCCACAACCACATCGCTTCTCTGTTTGGATGGCGAATCCGCCATGTGAGGAACATACCAAGAGCTACCAGCCGCATAGCTATGAGTAACCTGTACCGTTTACCAGCAAGAAAAATCAGAACTTTGAGCAAAACTCAGATGCTGTGATACAAGTATAGTCGATTGGATCATTGTTATTATCATTTCATCAAAGAAAAACTCTGTTCTGTACAAGGGGCCAACAAAAGACTAACCTAGAAGTGAGCTAAGGCAAACCAAGTTCCGAACTAACTGTCAGGGAAGCCATAAACAGAGACTCAAAAGCTAACCTGTAAGGGCTGAGAATTGCTGCAGAGACACTGACTTTTCTGGTTAGAGGTCTCTTACTTCTCTCCCCGAAATCTGGAGGGTGTTCATACCCATTTCCATTAGCTCCCGATCCGACATCGAACCCATCTTTCGGCCAAACAGCATTTCCATACCCATAAGTCCCTTTGGTCTCAAACAACCACCGTGTATGATCGAAATCTGGAGGTTGGTTCTGCGCCTTGAACGACCTCACAAGCGAAATTCTCTTGTCGAGCTTTGAATCTGGCATCTGAGGAAGTGGCTTAGCTTCATCTTCATCCTCCTCTTCTTCATCATCATCATCTTCATCATTGATGTCCTTGTACGGCTCTTTGCATCCCGGACAATGTCCTCCACCGCTCGTGATACAGTCCATGTAACAGTCTCTGCAGATCTTGAAGCCACACTCACACCTCCCTTGAACTGCCTTCTCATCACAGCCCTTCATCCAGCAGAACAGACCCGGTTTCTTAACGGTATCGGTCTGACCCATTGAGCAATCAATGACATGCCCACGAGTCACCGAATTGAAACCGCCAGTGAAAATCGTACCTGAGATGAAGCTTCTGTTATGTACATTCCCTTCTTTCATCTCGTCATCTTCATCTTCTTCAGGCATACTTTCCTGGGAAGCAAAGACTGTTTGGCGATCAGGGGTCGCTGGAATATGAACCGTGTAGCTCACGAATTCAGAGCTAGCATCAGCCGTCGGATCTTCCACCGCCGACATGGAACAGTACCTTCCTCCACCACTCGATCTCCTGGTTCCGCCGCTCAGGGAGGCGTGTGGGCCTCTGGAACTGATAGGTGAATTGGGGTTGTTGGAGAAAGAGGCGCGTGGGATGGGACTCGTCAAGCCGATGCTTCTGTCTCCGGTTGCTTTTCCTGCGGAGGTAACCATGATAGTCACCGGAGAAGAAGACGGAGAAGAACATGCTGCTTTCACCATCTTTTGTTCACTGCAACTGTGAACCCTTCGATGTACGAGAGAGAAGCAACAACGAGCTTCGGAGAAAATGGAATCAAACAGAGACAACTCAAAGAAAAAATCGAAAACAGAGACTCTGAAGAATGAATCATGAAACAGTGAGAAAAAAGGAAGAAGAAGAAGAAGACGAAGAAGAGGAAGCTGTGGCTTCTTCGCAGGAGAGCATTTGAATTTGAATACCTGAGAGAAGAGCGAGAGAAGAGCGAATAAAAAGGGGAAACGGGTTTCTTTAAACGGTCGATAGATCTGGACCGTTGATTGATCACGATGCAAGGATGAGATCGGACGGTTCTGATTCAATCTAAACGGCAAAGTAACTCACGTTATTGTGGGTCCCAACGAGATCTCGCAGAGAAGAAGTCAAAAAGGCAAAGGAAGGGGGGGCCTTTCGTTGTCGCTTTTTAACTCCCTAACGGTCAAATAATTTATATTGGCGGTGTTCAAATATAATATAGGCTTCTTCACATGCTTTGATCCATTCAATAATTTTGAACTCATTGATTATATACGCACCTATGATTATTATGTATAACATTATAATAAACAATATACTTGTTAAGCAGTAAATTAGATGATCATCATCTGAGTACCAATACTATGTTGTACTTGACACGTGTGTCTCGCGCGTCTGACGCAATTGTAAGATTCCAAAAAAACTGTGAGAGATGACATCATATACATCTTTTTCAAAGAGAAGGTTCGATTGTACAAAAAAAAATGTATGAGAAGAAAGCATAGCATCCGTGACTGAACACCACATAGGTAAAGAAATTGTATAACTTCTGGTTATAATAAAGAGTGGATCATCATGTTCAGAACAAGAGGCTCTTGAGTACTAACAGGACAAGCATTATGAAGCAGAGTATAAGGAGGAAAGTTGCGCATTTCACCATTGCCCCTTCTCTTTGTGATCTCTCCGCCTGTTCTCGGCCAAGGGAAAAAAAAAACCCCGAAGAAAACGTAAACATCTATCGGTATGGTTCTAAGCAGAAACCTCGAAAACCCAACTCGGAAGAACTATTAAAACATGAAACTGAATCTGTTCATAGATGTAGAAAGTATCAGGTTCTATGAGTTTGTTTTTTTTTTGTCAGAGAACAAACCTTTTGTAGCTGTTTATACCCTTCCTCGACCGAAGTAGCGACAGTTTGGATATTATAGTCTATCCGATCAACTATTGTACCCTGAAACAAGAACGAAAGTCAAATCCTTTCGACACGATTGACAATACATATATGTAACATCTATGCAAGGACGTATTGCGTGTATAGGAAAATCTCAAACCTGGTCTATCACAAGGGATGACAAGTCTTTCATTATTTGTGCAAGTTCATTTACCGATTCCACCACCTACCAGGAAAGCTCAAGTTTATCAGGATGAAACAATGCAGAGGAGGTTTCCTACATATCTATATGCTCATTGCAGCTTCCAGTCACCTGCTTTATCTCTCTTTCC